CCCAGTCATTAAATTCCGTTTCAAACAACAAAATCCCTTTCCTAAAGTGGCAAAAGGCCTCACACATAATTTGTATATTTTTTTGCTGTTGGTACAGTGGTCACTAAGCTGGTACCCGAATATATTCCCGGGACCCCCAACATTCATTGCCATGTCCCCAGGACAATTACACAAGCTTTGGTAAATCCCTGCGACCCCATTCCTGGGATGATCGATCAAAGTGATGCAGGAAACGTTCATCACGTAAGAGTATTGCTTCATGTGGATGCCTGTTCCAGTGTTTTTCTAGGTGAACAATTAACTTGCCTTTGCGTGTGTTTGTTACGGGTGCTACCAGTAGGGCAGGATTCTATTACCTTTGCTCGAACACCTGGTGTCATTACTATTTGATAGTGATTCATGAACACATGATCATGATACAGTCGAAATCGTACATCTGATATTTGCAGAGAATTCTCATGAATATGGAAAGGGTTTTGTCGCTTTTATCTATTATAGATACGTAAAGGATAAAAAGACGTTTACAGATAGATTGTTAGGTGATGTTGGCCTTCCGTTGAGACTTTATTGAATGCTGACTGATTGTTTGTCGTTTAACGCCACACTCAGCAATATTCAAGCTGTGTGACGGAGGCCTGGACCAGACAATCCAGTGATCGATGTTGTGATCACGCCGTCGGAACACCATGACACGCAATGAACAAAGTATTCGAATCTGACCACCCGATACACTAAGTTGACTGTACGACCTCCATAGGTAACTGGGGACCTATACTAACCCGGAAAGGGGCGATAGGGTAGCCTAGTGGTAAAAGCGTTCGCTCGTCACGCCGAAGACCCGGGTTCGATTCCCGACATGAGTACAATGTGTGAAGCCCATGTGTGGTATCCCCCGCCGTGATATTGCTGGAATATTGCTAAAAGCGGCGTAAAATCTCACTCACTCACTAACCCGGAAACCAACGGGGCGTTGAGAGTGGTAAGGTGGGTGAAAGGTGGCGAAACAGCTTCAGGTGTATGACGGTTATGGGGTACAATGCCACATGCAAAAATGATTGGGTGTTTTGGTGTATAGATATGTATATGTATGAATACTGTTGACGTCATATGTATGTTTGGTGACTGACTGTTGATGCAGATCACAAATTCAACATGGCTGTCATTACGACCATGTTTAAATCAGATTGGAATTCTCTTTGGGTTTGTTAGAGACGGGATATTTTTCTCAGAATGCTTCAAAACATAACATGTCCTTCTTCGGAAAGGATAACTAAACACTATACACGACAAAGTTTATATAGGACATCCCCTGAAATATTTACTGATGGAGTTAATACTTTTGGAAAATCCTTTTCTCAGGTTTTCGGGTGGAAAATATTAGAATATTTTAAGGTCCTCGGATTCATCAGTAAACCAAGGAAGGCAGGTCGACAAAAGCCTAATATTGGTCTTCTACAAGATCCGACAATGACGGGGGTCACGGGTGACCAAGGCGTCGTAGGTGCCGCGACCCGTGAAAATCCGGTTATAGAATAGGTCTTCAGCAACCCATGCTTGCCGTAAAAGACGATTATGCTTGTCGTAAGAGGCGACTAACGGGATAGGGCGGTCAGGCTCGCTGACCTGGTTGACGCATGTCATCGATCCCAATTTCGTGGATCGATGCTCATGATGTCAATCACTGGATTGTCTGGTCCAGACTCGATTATTTACAGACTGCGGTCATATAGCTGGAATATTGCTGAGTGCGGGGTAAAACAACAATCAAACAAACAAATCTTAGGCGCCGCAATTCGCTGTGCAGAGTTGCGTCCCTTGGGCACGCCAGAAACGTATGATCGTGGGTTCAAATCTCGGTTTGCTCCGATTATGTTTCTTGGTTTGTCAGCTCCATACTCGTGGGCTTCACCAAAGTGGTAAACGTCTGAGTCCTGCAACGCTGGCGTGACAAAGGGACGCTACCTTGCTCAGCGAATTGCGGCGTCTTAGACGACTGGGCTACCTGTGCCCTCTCGTGAAATAGAAGAAGAAAATATATTTGATGTGAATGATATACAATACACGCTTAAAAAAAAAGAAATACACAGGTAGTATGTCGTTCATTGAACCTAACTTCCCCAAAAATCCGGTATATAAATTGGATATATGTTATTGGAAAATGTTGTCATTCATTTGTCAACATTTTTCAAGTTCGAAAATACCCAGACTCAGCGCTGCCGATCGGAACATCGCCATAGGACGTATCCAAAGAGGGGAATCGCAGTCTTCTGTGGCACGCCAGTTCAATGTCAACCACAGCACCATTTGCCGCCTTTGTGACTGATACACACAGTTCAATTCCACTGCAGACTGTCCGAGAACCGGCCGATCAAGAGTTAACACCCCTGCACAGAATCGCTTCATTCGACAATTCCACCTACGGAGACTGCAGGACGCATTCCTGGTTTGAGGAGGATATCGGACCAGACTGTCAGGAACCATCTTCGCGAGGCTGGAATTCGACCCAGAAGACCAGTTATCGTCCCTGTTTTGCAACAGATCTATCGACATCGACGCTTGTGTTGGTGCCATACCTTGCAGCCTTGAAAAATTGATAAACTGGAGACCAATGTGTTTTAGCGATGAATCACGATTTCTTCTTCACCAGCGAGATGGAAGACCCCACATTGTGTACGTGAATTCAACAATATTTTAATTTCGGTGGCGGTAGTGTCATGGTGTGTGTGTGTGTGCGCCATATCCTACACCACGAGATCTGACTTGGTTCAATCTCATTAAAATCAGATCTAAGTACTCGCTGCCGCTAAACAAAGATCTGAGGACATCCCATTACGGGTCATGTCAGAACGACCTCTCGCGAACTTTGACCGACCACTGAAATGACTGACAAGAAGTCGATATCAGCCAATAAGAAAGCAGCTTCCTCGAGCTTTACGGCACTCGTTTCAACCTGGCTACTTTCATTTCAGACTACGCTTGACAAATATGTTGACACAGTTCTCGACTAAAATTCTGAAACTGAACAAACGAACATTCCGGAACGTCTAATATTTGGTTGAGACTGTATGGTAGTACTTCCCACGTACTGTGCAACGCCTCGTCCTTTCAAATGTTTATCCCAGAGATAGACGGGCCTTACGTGTCTTACGGGTCGTAACTGTCTTTCGGAATACTCCGTGTTAACGTTTTTGAGGTTGCATTTATCAGAAAACACATTCCGACTGTCACTTTCCTGATCTGGTAAGCGACGCTTGGATTGGTCGTGTGAAAGGTCGTCCTGACGTGACCCATAATGGGATGTCCTCAGATCTTTGTTTGGCGATAGCGAGAACTAAGATCTGATTTCAATTAGATTGGACTTGGTTGTGGTTCAGGGAAATTTGACAGAAAATCGCTACACGAATCAAATTCTTCAACCTCACCTTGAAGTGTCACGGTAGACTACCTTCATAATGCCAACATCAACGACTTGCCCTGGCTGTGGAGATCTCCAGATCTCAACCCAATCAAACATCTTTGGGATGAACTTAATCGACGTGTACGTCAACGTAGGACAGAATTCATACACTTATCCAGTCAGTGCCGAGGAGCTGCAGAGCCGTGAATGCTGCCCAGGGCGGTCACAAGAGATATTTTCATCGCCACCGTCTGGCCTTATGTGACATGACAATGAACAGTTTTCAATGCCTTTGTACAACATGTGACAATCGAGCTCCAAAATTTCATATTTGTATATATGATATTAGATTAAAAGTATTGAGTTCATTTGGTTCAATAAACTTACTAAAGATCTACCTGTGCGTTTCTTTTTTTAAAGAGTGTACTCCACCTGACCAAACTAGTGACCAAACATTGGACAAGTGTATTTCGATTTGCTAAAAGTCATATTATGTGCATGGTAAATCTGAGTCTGACACTTAACCACATTGTAATACGAGGAAATGTCGAGTGTCACTTTTGTCTGAAAACTTTAATAAAAAAAAATAGAACTGTTTGTTCACAGTATTTGTTCTCAGTCCGGTCAATCACACAGCTCATTTGTGTCAAGGACCATAAAGCTAAATCCCACAAATGCCAAGTTCTCAAAAGTGCCACAATTTACTCGGCAGAGTTGCTTCCCTTAGCCATGCAAGGATCGTGGGTTCCAGTCTAATGCTTGCTGATAATGTTTCTAGGTTTGTAATCACCATACCCATGCTTGTGGTAAACACAGCAAAGTGGGGAACCCCTAGGACCTGCAACACTTTGGGTTATTCCCACATTAGGCTGACACACTGGGATAGGAGAGAAATCTGGTCAAAGTCGTGCAAAAGGTCACAACACTCAGTAGAACCAACAAGCAACAAGAGCTTTGAGTCGGCTCTTAAAACAAGCAAGACGTGTCGGGAACCGGTTCTGTCCCAGAATTCCCACAGGCTGTTTATTTAGAATAGAACTGTTGTCCCTTCCAGTGATTCTATAACTGGAATACTGTTAAAAGCGGCATTAAACCCAACTCACTCACTCACTCGAGTGATTCTGGTGCACTCTGCTTCTATAAGTAACACACAAATATATAATGTTTGAATGCTTTATTATAACTGAGTTAACAATGTACTATTTATTAACAGTTTGTAAAGTGTATCAAAAATAGTAATACTATGCCGAGAAATATAATTGTAAAACAGGCACAAATTATTGCATAAAATTGTAAAACTTAAAAAACTGAAAATTCTTGAGAGTCTTTTGTTTTAATTTTGTTCTTAATTTCTAAACAGCAAAGCAAATAACAATACTTTGTAATGATTATGCATCAATTTTATCACAAGTAAATATTTACAAGTAATTTGAGCATGGGGGACATTAACATTGTACAGTTAAACTGGAAACACCTAAATAACATTATTTCCAATTTCTGATTGTGTTCTACTTCAAGCAACCTTAAAGTTATAGAACATATATTCACTTAACATGAATATACAAAAATAGCATGTCACTGATCAATTTCGCAACTATTTTTGAGAAAAGCTTGCAATCCTACAGATAATACATAACTATAAATTGTGAATGTTTCGTAACATTCATCAGGACGAGGCACCATTAATGCATGTCAGGGAAGCTGTCGTGCCCTGTGGTGTTGACGCGGGGGTGGACGTTGCGCCCGCGGAAGCTGTCCTGGGGTTCCCCTTCGAAGGAAGACAGATGAACCAGCCTGTCCTCGCTGCCCTGATAGGCGGGGTTCATGTACATCTCTGGACGCTGTGGGTAGCTCTCACGGTCCAGACGCTTCTGCTCCATGCGGGATCTGGAAACATGAAGTGGAATATAACTAGAAGTGTTTGCAGATGCAAAAACAGAATCAGCCCTTTCTTCGCTTAGCTGTTTCCTCCAAGCTTCTAAAGGCTTGAAATATCCAAAAGAATTACTTTCAGACCTTGACCTTCATCCAAACAACTTCAGATTTAACAAAATTACTACCAAGTCTCGGTATACTGTCCAAGTAAACGTGCAAACAGTCACTGTTACCGTCTATGAGAGATGCAACTGTGTTCACAATAACCTCAAGGAGGACCTTGATCTTTGATGGACTGAGTGCCAACATATCAGGATTTGTAGAGGTAACAACGCCTCAGAAACTTACAATGATATTAACTGTTTTACAAAAACCTAAATGCTGACCTTGACCTTGGCAAGAACCTTTTCAAAGCAGGGCCCCATCCCAGGGAACTACATACCAAGTTTAAAGGAGACTATGCTCCTTGAACTGGTGCCCATCTCGAGTCTGGGCAGGTATGTTGTAATTTGTGCCATGTTCCAAACTTAGACTGCTTGGTAAATGTAAACTGTTAAATTGACCTACATCCTAAACTATGAGTTGTCAGGGTAGACAGAGTTCCTTACAGATTTGAATCAAACTTGCTAGGAGAGCCAAAGAAAGCGGATACCGCAAACCATTTTCTGAACTTTTGATGATGCACGAAGAGAATTCCCCATTTGGAAGAAGTTCATTGAAGAAGAATCCAATTGTCTAAAGCACCGTGGGTTCGAATCATGATCTGTGTCTGTCTTATCACACAAAACTCCAGTGAACATCTATGTCTATCTTATAATCTAAATTGGAGGCAAAGGGGGGGGCATTGTCACTATGTGTGACAGGCATACCAGAAACCAATCATATGATTGTGGGTTCAAATCCTGGTTCGCTCCAATTATATTTCTAGGTTTATCAGCACCATACCCATGCTTGATGGTTTCACAAAGTCGTAAATGTCTAAGACCTGCATCACTTCAGGCTTTCCTCCCAGATCAAGCTGACACACCCTGATAGAACTTGAATACTTTTCAAAGTGGAGTAATTATCCAAACCGCATGTAACAATGGACAGAGAGTAGAAGTGAAATATCATACAAATCTTACCGTCTCATGCAGACCAGTCTCACAATGACAGCAAGTACGATGAAGAGGATGACAGCGCAGGCCACGCCGATGCCGATGGTGGCACTGAGACCAAGGGTGGATGATCTGCTCTTGATGGATTCTTTCACCTTGCACACTAGACCTGAAATGTGGAACATAGACCTTGAAACAGGACAGAAACATGGAAGGCTAGACCTGAAACATCCACACTACGCCACACTCATAAAGCACATAACGCCACACACAATGTATGCTCAAAGCGTACAAGAAAGGTTGCAGTTCAGTCAATGTGAGTGAGTGAGTGAGTATGGTTTTACGCCACTTTTAGCAATATTCCAGCAATATCACGGCAGGGGACACCAGAAATGGGCTGCACACATTGTACCCATGTGGGGAATCGAACCTGGGTCTTCAGCATGACGAGCGAACGCTTTTAGCACCAGGCTACCCCACCACCCTGTAGCAGCATAGGAAAAGTAGTGATAGCCATAGCTGACAGTCTTTTCTTCTGGTGCTCAGAGGGAAGTGAGATTCAGACCTGAGGGTGCATGCTGGTGTGTAGATATGAGGAAGTTTGGGTAATTACAGGAACATCTCCAAACAAGCTCTGGAAGGAAGGCAGAGAATTCTGAACGTGCTTCTGTAACACAGTGTAATCTGGAGAGTACTGGAGTATCACCTAACAAGCGCTGGAAGGAAGGCAGAGAATTCTGAGCGTGCTTCTGTAACACATGGAGGCAGTGTAATCTGGAGAGTACTGGAGTATCACCTAACAAGCACTGGAAGGAAGGCAGAGAATTCTGAGCGTGCTTCTGTAACACATGGAGGCAGTGTAATCTGGAGAGTACTGGAGTATCACCTAACAAGCACTGGAAGGGAGGCAGAGAATTCTGAGCGTGCTTCTGTAACACATGGAGGCAGTGTAATCTGGAGAGTACTGGAGTATCACCTAACAAGCACTGGAAGGAAGGCAGAGAATTCTGAGCTTGCTTCTGTAACACATGGAGGCAGTGTAATCTGGAGAGGACTGGCATATTGTGATCATAAGTCCACACTGAAAGTCAGGTCATACTGTGTCCATACTCACAATCCATTGTGGCCAATGAATACCCATTGCAGTCTCACTGATGACAAAAGTTTTGTTTGTTGTTGTTTAAAGCCGCACTCAGCAGTATTCCTGCTATATGAAGGCAGTCTGTAAATAATCAAGTCTGAACCAGACAATCAAGTGATTGATATGAGCATCTATCCACGCAATTGGGATACGATGACATGCATCAACCAAGTCAGCCTCTTACGACAAGCGTGGTCGCCTTTTTTTATAAAAGGCCACATCATTTACAAAGGGTGTCGTGTATCACTACGGACTATCGTAGCTGTCTGGAGCTAGGATGTTTGTGTACTAGATACACAAGGAATGCACAGTGTGATCTTAACTCACCATCAACTGTGGTCCACTCAGTTTTGCTGACCGCAGGCTGACAGGAGACACAGGTGTTGTTGTTGGCGATGGTGTCCGCGGTGTAGCACTGCCTGCCGATGTTACAGGTGTTGTCCTAAATGGGTTGAAATAGATATATGTTATAACTAATCATGGCAGAAGGTGCACAAAATATGAGATCAATCAGTCCCTATTGTCTCATGAATCATGTTATTTCATGTGTTTGGTTACCTCCCTTGCCAATCCCAAGGCTCCTTGTCTGGTCCAGGGAGTGTAGCTGGATGCACCAGGCAATGACTGAGGATAAACTTGCCATATTGTCCACCAGTAACCAACTGATTCGTCACAATGAGCACACACTGTAAGTTTCCTAGGACATGGCCTAATTTTAATGTAACACTTCCTTGCAACGTGTCCTCACCTGATGGAAACACTCCCTAACAACATGACCTCACCTGATGGAAACACTCCCTGGCAACATGACCTCACCTGATGGAAACACTCCCTGGCAACATGGCATCACCTGATGGTAACACTCCCTGGCAACATGACCTCACCTGATGGAAACACTCCCTGGCAACATGACCTCACCTGATGGAAACACTCCCTGGCAACATGACCTCACCTGATGGAAACACTCCCTGGCAACATGGCATCACCTGATGGAAACACTTCCAGGCAACATGACCTCACCTGATGGAAACACACCCTGGCAACATGGCATCACCTGATGGAAACACTCCCTGGCAACATGACCTCACCTGATGGAAACACACCCTGGCAACATGGCATCACCTGATGGAAACACTCCCTGGCAACATGGCATCACCTGATGGAAACACTCCCTGGCAACATGACCTCACCTGATGGAAACACTCCCTGGCAACATGGCATCACCTAGAAGTGTAACACTCCCTGGCAACATGCCCTCACCTGATGGTAACACTCCCTGGCAACCTGACCTTACCTGATGGAAACACTTCCAGGCAACATGACCTCACCTGATGGAAACACACCCTGGCAACCTGACCTCACCTGATGGTAACTCTCCCTGGCAATATGACCTCACCTGATGGAAACACTCCCTGGCAACATGACCTCACCTGATGGAAACACTCCCTGGCAACATGGCATCACCTAGTGGTAACACTCCCTGGCAACATGACCTCACCTGATGGTAACACTCCCTGGCAACATGACCTCACCTGATGGAAACACACCCTGGCAACATGACCTCACCTGATGGTAACACTCCCTGGCAACATGACCTCACCTGATAGAAACACCCTCTGGCAACATAACCTCACCTGATGGTAACACTCCCTGGCAACATGACCTCACCTGATGGAAACACTCCCTGGCAACATGACCTCACCTGATGGAAACACACCCTGGCAACATGACCTCACCTGATGGTAACACTCCCTGGCAACCTGACCTCACCTGATGGTAATGTTCCCTCACCTGAAGGTAATGTTCCCTCACCTGATGGTAACACTCCCTGGCAAAGTGACCTCACGTAATGGTAACACTCCCTGGCAACGTGACCTCACCTGATGGTAACATTTCCTGGCAACGTGATCACACTCCTGACATGTGGGGTCGTAGGCAATGAACACCTCCTTCTGACTCGAAGTCACACCATCGTTGCTAATTGCAACTAGAGCTGCATAGTTACTGCCCTTGATGGTTGAGACGGAGCAGCGTACTGTTGTCTCAGTAACCAGCACTGCAGACGTCATGACGGCCATGTTTCCTGGCACTCTCGTGAATCCGTTCTCGTTAATCTGAAGCGACAAATGGAGGAAGTGAACCATTTAAAAAGTGTCCCAGTTTCTTTCTTGTTTAACGCCGCACTCAGCAATATTCCAGCGATATGATGGCGGTCTACAAATAATCGAGTCTGGACCAGACAATACAGTGATTGACATCATGAGCATTGATCCATGTAATTGGAATATGATGACATGCATCAACCAAGTGAGCGAGCCTGACAACCCAACCCTGCTAGTCGCCTCGTACGACATGAATAGTCGCCTTCTTTGGCAAGTATGGGTTGCTGAAGACCTATTCTAACCTGGATCTTCAGTCAGAGATCTAATTGCATTGAATATTTCTTGATCATGATACCCCAAGCCCAGTCTCATGTGGTGTTTTTTTTGTTTTTTTTGTACATCCACTCCACTGATACTGGATTATGTATTTTGTATGTATTCACTATAAGGATGAAATACAGCTGATACGACTTTAAATTTTAACCTACTTACTCATATGGATTAACCTTGTGGGGTGTCTGGGTTAGAATAGGTTCCAAGCAATATATGCTGGTCGCAAGAGAATCAGATGATGAGGGGATGTGGTCGATTGCGTGTCATCTTTTCCCCATGACGTGGATTGATTCTCACAATATCAATCACTCGATCCAGACTGGATTATTTACAGGTTGCCATTTTAATAAAAATCAGACCTAGTGCTTGCTACTAGTAAGACCTTTCTATTGACCAATCAGAGCATCGCTTACCAGCTCGGAAAGTGACAGTTGGAATGTGTTTCTGATCATGTAAACTTGAAAGGGTGAACACAAGGAACAAGGGCTGTAAACTGATTCTGTCAAAATCATCAAAATGGAAGAGACTTTCCATTGCCTGTGGGAAGTACTGCCATACAATATTGGCCATCTATTAGACGTTACAGATGTTTCTGTTGTTATCTCAGGATTTCAATGTTATCCAGTGCTCCAGATAAGCTGCGTATATGCGTAAAATACGCATCAGAAATGCAGAAATACGCAGTAAAATAAATTCCAAGCATATCAAATACACAACAAACATTACAGAGACGCTACAAAAATAAAACTTGTGCTTCAAAATATTGTGAATTAACCCTCCGTATTCGATTAACGAATCAGCAACTTATTTTGAAATTATGAATGGGCATTCCGTCAACCTTGCTAAACTCCACGATGACAGTTACATCATGATCATTTGCCATCACACTTTCTTGTGGAAGTATCGTATGTTTGAGTCCTATAAAGCTCTCGACACCAGTTTGCAGGGACTAGATGAATAGTGTTTTTAAATATTTAACTTAAATACCCACATAGTAAAAACAAGTAGGTAACAGAAATTTGAATACCCAGATAGAATTACTGATACCCAATGATTTTAAAATGCATGGGTAAAATACTCACAACACCAACACACACAACAGATTCCCGGGTTTGATCCCCGGTGTCTTACCTCCACTATCTCAATGTGACATCTGAGAAGCTCAGACTCCACGAAGTTGCGTCCAGAGACGAAGATGTCATTGCAGGCCTGGGTGTCGGAGAACTGACAGAGTCCGAAGTGCTCGAGACCGTGGAGGATGGGAGGTTGCAGGTGGAGCTTGTTGACGGAGCAGTCGGCGCCGAGGTAGCCAGAGTTGCAGAGGCAGATTCCTGGCAGACAGGGAGACAGGAATAGTCACATATAACGGACAGGCTTCATCTGTTGTTTCCAACTGCAAGGTCTTGATGCTCATGATTAAAATCTCTTGATTGTCTGGTCAACTCAACTATTTACATATTGCCGAGGGTGACATTAAACAACAAACAATCGAAGGGTCGTTACAATTACAGTCATGTAAGGGCAGTGAGGTAGGCCAGTGGTTGAAATGGTCTCTCGTCTTGTCAAGACCTGGGTTTGATTCCCACAAAGGCATCACTGATGAAGTCCAAATTTGTTGCCTAGTGGCGACACCATGATGTAAATTCAACTACAGTGTTCCTTCGCTATTGCGCCCTTCAATATAACACTAACTCGGTTACAGCGTGCGGTAATGCATGGCTCCCAAAATTTACTTATGTTTAAATTAACTCAAAATTTACACGCACACAATGTTTTTCCCCATCACAAAAAACATTATCAGCTGCTCAGCAAGAGCATGTAACACCGGAAATACCAACAAATCTGAACTAAAGGGTATAATTCCATTATTACCAGTATGATATCTCGCTATAAAAACGGGTTCATTGTTTATCTATGGTGTGTGAAGTGATCGCTAGCCTAGATTGCACAACTCACCGTTATTACCCACAACCACAGTCAGATAAGTGCTATTGATGCATTGAAACAAACTTTAGTTGCCAAAGAATGCATACATATATCGCAAATGCCATACTTTGACTCGTTAAAAGTCATATTTGTAGCGTTGTAGCGAGGGATCACTGTATATGCAGCTCGTTACTGGCTAGTGGTATACACAACCAGTCCTGATAGATTTTTGATCATCTCAGACGAACTGACTTAACCTTGGTCCCCTCACAGCCCTTAGCAGTATCTTCATCCGAAAAACATAACTAAGATCTATCAGATTTACGGAATTGTGTTTTGATGTCGTAAGATCCAACATTGCTGACGGTAGCGTTAAGCATACAAATCGTAGGGTCCTACAGTCTTGAAACACTATACAAACCAGTGCCAAATAATCAAATACATACATAGTAACAAAGTAATTTTCTGATTTTTGACTCAGTGGTCAAGCGGCGCAAACATTTGTTTCCAAAGAAAGATGCCTTGAACAGATAAGAACGGTATGTTGTACATCTTTTCACAGAGATTCAGCAAAATCAGGCCTTAAAATTTAAGATGGACTCTTGGCAGCCATCTTGATCAAATTCCCACATGGTAGGCACTGCTGATGAAGTAAGTAAAAATTTAAGTCACACTGATAAAGCTTAAATACTACCACCACCACTACCACAACCACAACCTCGCAACAAGTAGCAACAGTGGAATTACCTCCATCACATCTGCCGTTGCCGTTACAGTCGATGGGGGTACAGGCGAGGTTCATGATCTCAGCGGCGATCTCCTTGGCCCGGGTGTCGGTCTGGAAGATGGGGTCCTTCTCGATGCCACTGATGCAAGTCTCCTTCAGGTCCTCGTTGGTCTCCTCCGCGAAGGCTGTCGTCCCGGTCATCTGAAACACACCACAGGTGGTAACTATATATGGTAAGGGACATGACGGTTGGATGAACCCTCTGTGGCGCCATGTACCTGAGCCGATATCTTACCGCCATGCTTATCATTTACCACAATTAAATACAAACGGATATTGAGAGTTTGTCACCATGCAATATGAGCACCACATCACACGTGTCATCTAAGTCCACGTTAATATGGACCGCCTCCGTGGTCTAGTGGTAGAGCTGAAGGTCCGGAGTTCGATCCCCGACCGCGTCATACCAAAAGACGTTAAAAGATGGTACTTGTTGTTACCCTGTCTGGCACTCAGCATCAAGGGGCTAAAACAAGGACTGGTCCGCTCGAGGTCAGTACACTGTGTCTGAGTGGGATATTCATGTTAAACTGCGGCATGGTATCTCAGTGAGCTAGCACTATAAATCGGCATCAGTCTAGACTAGTACAAGCAGCCACACATACACACACACGTACATGCACGTCGCTATATAAGCGTAATAATCTTGGACACGACGTTAAACCCCACTTCACCATGTTAATATGCATTATGTGACACCATTTCACTGTCAGGAGCTGGAATTGCTAGCAAAGTAAAAAATAAGAGTCGTGCTTGGCTCTTGTCTGTGTATTCCGACTATTTCTGCTGTCCTCACCCTGATATCGTCTACACAGTTCTTGATGTTCTGGTCAATGTCGGCGGTGTTGTTCGTCACCTCGGCAGCTTGACTACATTTCTGGTTCAGTTGAGCATCACGGATCTTCTGCTCGCAGAACTCTGTCGCGTTTTGCTCCGTCCATCCAGTGGATGTTGGCCAACCCGGTTGCTGTAACACACAAATATACTGGAACTGATACCGGGTATTAAACAAAGGCACTCCCAGTATAGTTATTGGCTAAAAATAGATTAATTAAATTATAGTATGAAACATCGCAAAAAGAAACTTGGAGAGTAGATAAACCATCATGGCAGATACCTTCAGAGTATCAACACAGCGCTATTGACATAGTTCTAGAAGCAGTCACTGCAACATATAACCACTCGCAGTCACCGGACTATCGATCCTTACCTGGATCTTACCCATGTGATCAATACTCAGTGATGTTTACTGCTAGATGAATATTTCTTGAAGAGCACAATTTCATTTTTTGTTATCATAAATTAATTATTGCGATATATCATCATGATCCTACATAAAGCAAAGGTCAAGGGATGTCATGATACGACTTTCTCCGGACATCATACGTTTTGCAATACTTTGTTCATGATATGATACAGTGGCAAACTTGCGTAATTTTTTATACCATCAGGCTTGAAACTTCCCGAATATCTGGTCTCATATTTGAAATAAAAATAGTTTATTTATTTCAGACAGAACTAGAGTGGCAACAAAAGAAATTTTTTTTAAAAATACAATAAAAAAAACCTTGTTAGCGAAATACCTCACAAATACCCAAAATGAACAAACTAAATACAGGGATTAAATAAGTGTGAAACTATACAGGATTAAAATATGAATCGATACAGGTAAGTGTTTATTGCTTATCTTATCGTATGAGAATATTGTCGATTCATTGATGTACAGGTGACAAAGGACACCAGTTGAACTTACAGGGGTATCAACGAGGGTCTCCGGCTCTGTCGTCGCCTGCCTCTTCCTCCGCTTGCTGTTGATTGGCTCGGCCTGGAGGTTCATGGCCACCACCTGACTGGTGATGTCCACCGCACCCGCTGCAGGTACACACAACATACGTAACTACACCGACCACGACAACAGACAGGTTACCAACCTCTAAACAAACTCTCACAGCCAGGGTATGATTCCATAAGTCTATACCGTATTCGTCGTAATAAGCGCCCTGTTCTAATAAGAGCCCTCGGCGATATTTGCTAATATATTGGCTCATGAATAATCTCAATAAGCACCTCTTCCAATTGATAATTGTACACAAGACTTATTTATTCGTGTATAATACGCACTCATATGTTATATGCACCCTTAATTATGGGCAATTAAATCCTGGAAAAATATATCTGTCATACATAAACATTTCAGGCTGAAATTTACGATCTTTCAACTAAAAATAATATTCTAATAAGAGCCCCCTATTGCTAATTTTAAGAGCGCCCTGGGCGCTTATTACGTCGAATACGGTACCAGTACATCTTCCCAAGGCAAGAGCATCCACTTGCCTTTCCATCATAGTCTAGCTTCCACGCTTTGATATAGGCTAGTGGACACGCTTGCCTCGGGAAGATGCCACCAGCATATTACACTGCTCATCAGGCTATGTTTCTGCAAATTGCTCACAACTGGTTTCATACACTACTATAAAAAATAAAACTCGCTCAAACTAAAAAAATTGCTATGCAGAGTTTAGGGCACTAGAGTTCTCCTATTTATACTGATTTTTCCTTCAGCACCATACCATTGCTGCAAAAGTGACCAACTTGTGTTATTCCAACTTGTGCCCTTCTCGAGGCCATTTTTGAAACTGGGTTCCTTCTAAGCGCTAATGGGCATAGTTAAATATCTTGTCAGTTCCTAGATTAAATCACATTTAACTGTATGTTGGGTATAATTTTAAATGCAAGACATGTAAAATAAAAAATTATTCCTGAGGGATTCTTTGACCGAAGTACTTAAAGTCATACATGCATTCTGATTGGTCATATTTTCACACATAACATTCAACGATAGAGGGGACGAATGTTCTTGCAGGTTACGGAAAGGGGCAAGTGATGACAAATGACCACTGCTAGTGTATGGCACCGAACTAGTAAACATCGAAGACCTGCACGTGGGTTTCCTCCAATCTGACTCTGACATGCCGGTAACTGCCGATATCATTCAACCGACTCACTTTATTCCCACAGGATACCACGCTGCACACATACTCACTTCTGATGAGGCCGCAGGTCTGGGAGCGTGCGAACATGTCGCAGGCTGCAGTAGCGCCGCATGAGCTGCAGGTGGTGGGCAAAATGGTGTCGGACACATTTCCCTGGACGCCGCTGCTGATGTCGTCCTCTGAACCAGCAACAACTCTGTGAGGAGGAAACAGTTAGTTCAGTCATGTGAGTAGAGGTTAGGGCTGGAGGAGTAGCAATTTACAACCTGGGTACACGATGCCATATTACCTGACCCTCCTCGGGTACCCATTGTAGTGTCAAGAGTTAGGTACAAATTGTCCAATTTTTAGTTGTTTTACCGGACTCCTGGCAAAGAGTAATTAGGTACATCTATAAAACGATCTGGTCATGCTTACACTGAAGGTAACTGAAGCTGCATGTTCACTTAAAACAGCAGTCTTGGACCCGTGAAGACCCGGGGTAGAATAGGTCTTCAGCAACCCATGCTTGTCGTAAAAGTGGCGACTAACGGGATCGGGTGGTCAGGCTCGCTGACTTGTCATCGATCTCAATTGCGTGGATCAATGCTCATAATATCAATCACTGGATTGTCTGGTCCAGACTCGATTATTTACAGACCACTGTCATATAGCTGGAATATTGCTGAGTGCGGCGTTAAACAATAACATCTATGCAATTGGGATACGATGACATGCATCAACCAAGTCAGCGAGCCTGACCACCCGATCCCGTTAGTCGCCTCTTACGACAAGCATAGTCGCCTTTTACGGCAAGCATGGGTTGCTGAAGACCTATTCTACCCCGGATCTTCCCGGATCTAGCCATATCACCTAGTATATAGGCGTGTTGTATCCTGGGGCCTGAGCATTCTACATTCATGTGTCCCAGAGATGCCAGAATCTTTTGGACATAGATTAGATTACTTCTTTTACACATTCATGTCAAATTACTTCTGGGTAGAACCAGAATTATTGAAAATAACCAGTCTGAGACTACCTATTTTGCTGATGTACGGACAGTTTTGAAAATATGCATGTCAGATGGTCAGGAGTTAAAGTTACTTACTCGACAATAAACAAGTTTATTGTTATTTTCTGAGAAATAACACCACACAGTACTATTCTCATGTTTACCTTTTCTGTGTGAATATTACCTTTTGGAATTCAGGAATTCCATGTGCAACGGAAGAATGCATTTCAATTGAACAGAGCTGTTGTGGAGTTCATGGCACATCAACTCGACACATGCATTGCCGGTAACACAATCAAATGGCCGACAAGAATACATTCCACCTCACTCGCGGCATGGACTATGCAGACTCGCTGGTTAAATCGTCATGATGTTTGTTAAGTTGTTCAGCAGTAAACTCAGCTGAGCGACTCACCTCCACTGCCAGGTGTAGTTGTTGGGTGTGAGAGTGCCGTATGTCATGTCTCCCTCCGCCACCTCGTACAGGGAGCCATCGGGCAGGGTCAGGTCATTGTACCGGTCACCGTCGAACGATCCACACAGACCTACAGTAGATGTACATCAAGCAATGTCAAGTGTGGAACTGTCTAGCATCACAGAATTCACATGTAAGTCTAGCATCACAGGATTTACCAGTATGTCTAGCATCACAGGATTTACCAGTATGTCTAGCATCACAGGATTTACCAGTATGTCTAGCATTGCAGGATTCACCAGTATGTCTAGCATTGCAGGATCCACCAGTTTGTCTAGCATCACAGGATTCACCAGTATGTCTAGCATTGCAGGATTCACCAGTATGTCTAGCATCACAGGATTCACCAGTAAGTCTAGCATCACAGGATTCACCAGTATGTCTAGCATCACAGGATTCACCAGTATGTCTAGCATTGCAGGATTCACCAGTATGTCTAGCATTGCAGGATTCACCAGTATGTCTAGCATCACAGGATTCACCAGTATGTCTAGCATCACAGGATTCACCAGTATGTCTAGCATTGCAGGATTCACCAGTATGTCTAGCATCACAGGATTTACCAGTATGTCTAACATCACAGGATTCACAAGTATGTCTAGCATCACAGGATTTACCAGTATGTCTTGCATTGCAGGATTCACCAGTAAGTCTAGCATCACAGGATTCACCAGTAAGTCTAGCATCACAGGATTCACCAGCATGTCTAGCATTGCAGGATTCACAAGTATGTCTAGCATCACAGGATTCACCAGTATGTCTAGCATCACAGGATTTACCAGTATGTCTAGCATCACAGGATTCACCAGTATGTCCAGCATCACAGGATTCACCAGTATGTCTAGCATTGCAGGATTCACCAGTATGTCTAGCATCACAGGATTCACCAGTATGTCTAGCATCACAGGATTCACCAGTATGTCTAGCATCACAGGATTTACCAGTATGTCTAGCATCACAGGATTCACCAGTATGTCTAGCATCACAGGATTCACCAGTATGTCTAGCATTGCAGGATTCACCAGTATGTCTAGCATTGCAGGATTCACAAGTATGTCTAGCATTGCAGGATTCACCAGTATGTCTAGCATCACAGGATTCACCAGTATGTCTAGCATCACAGGATTCACCAGTATGTCTAGCATTGCAGGATTCACCAGTATGTCTAGCATTGCAGGATTCACCAGTATGTCTAGCATTGCAGGATTTACCAGTATGTCTAGCATTGCAGGATTCACAAGTATGTCTAGCATTGCAGGATTCACCAGTATGTCTAGCATCACAGGATTTACCAGTATGTCTAGCATCACAGGATTCACCAGTATGTCTAGCATTGCAGGATTCACCAGTATGTCTAGCATTGCAGGATTCACAAGTATGTCTAGCATTGCAGGATTCACCAGTATGTCTAGCATCACAGGATTCACCAGTATGTCTAGCATCACAGGATTCACAAGTATGTCTAGCATCACAGGATTCACCAGTATGTCTAGCATCACAGGATTTACCAGTATGTCTAGCATTGCAGGATTCACCCATATATCATGCATCTAGCATTACAGGAATTTGTAACACAATACTTTGCAGACCCCTGTGATGTCAAATGACATACCTAATCTCTCTGAGACTGAAGCTGGTTTGCTGTAAAATCCCACATGAGTATCTTTTGATATCAAATATATCAACAGTAGTCGAACCTCACAGTTTTAAAATTTTATCACTGATATTGAAATATTTGATATCAAAAGACACTCATTTTTTGTAACATGCCCCTAACATATACAGTAGGTGGTTTAAAAAATACAATATTACTCAATATTTTCATGCAGTGACAAAGAATTCAGCATCAGCTGGCTTCCTGGAAACGTGTTTTTAGGGTTATAACTCCTCAGACCTCCACCCACCTCGAGTGTTGCCCCTATCATTGGCTGAGGCCAAGATCCACGTGTTCAGGAGACCATCGCTTGACCGCACTTTCACGATCTGGCCAGTTGCTATGACAACCTGAAATAAACATCAAAGAGTCAAGTAAACTAGTAATGGAAAGATATGGAAATAACTATGACGACACAGGTAAAAATATACGACTTAGGTGCGTAATGTACATTGTTTCCATGGGTGGTTATTCTTTGTATCAACCAAACACATCCACCGTGCCGAGGCTGGAACAATTTGATTCTGACAATGGAGCAAGCCTTGGTGCCCATGTTTGCATTGTGACATAAAGCACATCACGTTTGTGACCCACATGGTAAACGTTGGCTAGCAACCCCACTCTGTGGGTGACATGGTATCGTCCTTGAGGATGATGTAATCCTGTACTTCATCAGCAGGAGTATACATATACTGTATTCGACGTAATAAGCGCCCCGCTCTTATAAGCGCCCACGGCGATATTTGCTAAAATATTGGCTATTGAACAATACCAATTAGCACCCCTTCCGATTGATCAATGTACACAAGACTTATTTATTTGTGTATAATACGCACTTGTGTGTTATATGCACCCTTAATTATGGGCAAATCTATCTCTCTTATATAAACATTTCAGGCTGTCAGCATAAACCACAAAATGTATCTTTCAACTCTGTTTTTTTCCACCAAAATAATATTCTAATAAGAGCCCCCTATTTCTAATTTTGAGAGCGCCCTGGGCGCTTATTACGTCGAAAACGGTACTTCAATATAACTGTCTGACCAAACACATGCAGCATGGCCTCGTAGGCTGATAAACCCCATGAGGGAAAGGGGATCGTGAATGAGCCTATGGGTATTATATTGTCCAGGTGATTCACATTCGCACCCACAACACACTGACGTACCTAAACATTTGAGGGCATCCATGGATCCAAGTAGGCTGAACGAGTGCATACGCTTAATTTTGTTTGTTTGTTGTTTAATGCCACACTCAGCAATATTCCAGCTGTATGCCGGCAGTCTGTAAATAATCGAGTCTGGACCAGACAATCCAGTCATTGACATCATGAGCATCGATCCACGCAATTGGGATATGATGACATGCATCAACCAAGTCAGCGAGTCTAACTACCCGATCCCGTTAGTCGCCTCTTATGACAAGCATAGTCACCTTTAGGGCAAGCATGGGTTGCTGAAGACCAATTCCAGCCCGGATCTTCACGGGCCCCCCTCCATTACAACATATAATTAGGTTGATTTATCACCAAACACTTAACTCAAAATCAATAGGTAACATGTTTTCAACAATATTAATATAAATTGACTAATATTTGGCTAATAAACGACAATTTCCGATGGACAATAAATAGCTACTTGGATCACATCCCTCAACTGGACCAGGATATGGGTTCAAAAACCAGTTCTGCCCTGACCATGATCCATGGTGTGTTAGCACCATACTCGTGTCAAAGGGTTTCCTCAAAGTGGTAAAGGGGCGGTCGGGTAGCCTAGTGGTTAAAGCGTTCACTCGTCATGCCGAAGACCCGGGTTCGATTCCTGACATGGGTACAATGTGTGAAGCCCATTTCTGGTGTCCCCCGCCGTGATATTGCTGGAATATTGCTAAAAGCGGCGTAAAACCAAACTCACTCACTCACTCACCCAAAGTGGTAAACATCCAAGACCTGCATCCCTTCAGACCTTCTCCCACACTAAACCAACATGCTGAAATTCTGACATAACTGACTTTCTGTTCAGCGGAGTTAAAGCCCACTCACCTGGTAGGTCTTGGAGTCCGCAGACTTCAGGATCTTCACAGCCTTGGTGAAATCCCCACTCTTCTTGATGTTGACGTTGAGTGGGGTGAAGCCGCTGGAGGTACTGCAGCTGTCAAACTCGATGACATCGTTGTCGACGCGGATGCGAACGGCACAGTTGCAACTACCACCATTGCCGCAGATCTGGAACTTGGTCTGAACCTGACGGCGCCGGATGACACAGAGTAACATTAGACATGTTACAACATGATACAGAAAACTACGTTTATAACGAACACACTTGTAAGGAACTGATGGATATAACGAACTGTTTTTTTTGTCCTGTCCATTTACTGTAAATATGCTGTATATATGCTTATAACGAACTATGGTTATAATGAACTACAATTAGTGGTCGATTTGAGTTCGTTATAACCATAGTCTACTGTATATATAATCTTTGCTTGACAAAATTATCTATCATCTTTTTGTTTGTTTGTTTTATGCTGCAACGTGTTATCAACTGGCTGCGGTATGCTCTGAATCAGGAATCTATCAGGCAACACGATGGGACAGTCCTCAGCTCTGTGTACTGACAAGTCAATATCAGATTCACTTTAAGGGATATGGTTACTGCAGCTAGTTTATATATATAGTTTATATATACTCAGTCTCCGAGTCTGAGTGCATAGTCCATAAGTCACCTTGTACAGCAGCATAGACAGCAGGGGACAGGTTCTAACCCCGAATCCACATGGGTTTATATGAACCGAGTCTCCCGACATAGTCCATAAGTCACCTCGTACAACAGCATAGGCTGCTGGGGACGGGTTCTAACCCCGAATCCACATTGGTTTATATGAACCGAGTCTCCCGACATAATCCATAAGTCACCTTGTACAACAGCATAGGCTGCTGGGGACGGGTTCTAACCCCGAATCCACATGGGTTTATATGAACCGAGTCTCCCGACATAGTCCATAAGTAACCTTGTACAACAGCATAGGCTGCTGGGGACGGGTTCTAACCCCAAATCCACATGGGTTTATATGAACCGAGTCTCCCGACATAGTCCATAAGTCACCTTGTACAACAGCATAGGCTACTGGGGACGGGTTCTAACCCGAATCCACATGGGTTTATATGAACCGAGTCTCCCGACATAGTCCATAAGTCACCTTGTACAACAGCATAGGCTACTGGGGACGGGTTCTAACCCAGAATCCACATGGGTTTATATGAACCGAGTCTCCCGACATAGTCCATTAGTCACCTCGTACAACAGCATAGGCTACTGGGGACGGGTTCTAACCCCGAATCCACATGGGTTTATATGGACCGAGTTTCCCGACATAGTCCATAAGTCACCTTGTACAAACAACATAGGCTACTGGGGACGGGTTCTAACCCGGAATCCACATGGGTTTATATGAACCGAGTCTCCCGACATGGTCCATAAGTCACCTCGTACAACAGCATAGACAGCAGGGGACGGGTTCTAACCCGGAATCCACATGGGTTTATATGAACCGAGTCTCCCGACATGGTCCATAAGTCACCTCGTACAACAGCATAGACAGCAGGGGACGGGTTCTAACCCGGAATCCACATGGGTTTATATGAACCGAGTCTCCCGACATGGTCCATAAGTCACCTCGTACAACAGCATAGACAGCAGGGGACGGGTTCTAACCCGGAATCCACATGGGTTTATATGAACCGAGTCTCCCGACATGGTCCATAAGTCACCTCGTACAACAGCATAGACAGCAGGGGACGGGTTCTAACCCGGAATCCACATGGGTTTATATGAACCGAGTCTCCCGACATGGTCCATAAGTCACCTCGTACAACAGCATAGACAGCAGGGGACGGGTTCTAACCCGGAATCCACATGGGTTTATATGAACCGAGTCTCCGAGTCTCCCGACATAGTCCATAGCCGCCTTGTACAACAGCATAGGCTGCTGGGGACGGGTTCTAACCCCAAATCCAAATTAGGTCTCATGTAGAGTCAATCCTTACAGCACAGACCTGCTCAGTCATGGCCTACCTGTAGTTTAATGGGGCTGCTGGTTTCGTACATGAGGAAGGTCCCAAGGCCCATGTAGTTAAACATCCTGAAAAACAACATTGTTTGTGAAACATACTTGTAACATGTTTCCTTATGTAGTTTAGGTGTGATATGGCAGTTATACCCTAGATATATACAGGATAACATAAGATAAAGGAAAATAAGAATTTTATGATCCCAAGGGAAATTCATATTGCACAGTTGATTAGTATTAAAATATAGAATTTGTTTATTTGTTTCGCCGCACTCTGCAATATTCCAGCTATATGACGGCGGTCTGTAAATAATCAAGTCTGGACCAGACAATCCAGTGATTAATATCATGACAATTGGGGTCGATGACATGCATCAACCAAGTCAGCGCGTGTGATCATAACCGGCAGATTCTTGCATGGCAAAGGTAGACAACTTTGCTGAGCATGACCCGGCACTTCAGATAACATGTTTGCCGTCTCAACAAGCAACCATGTGAAGTAAGGAGTCAGTTAACATGGCAGTTGCTGTTCGTTTGTTTTATGCTGCAGTCAACAATATTCATGCTATGTCGTGGTGACCTGTAAATAACCATGCCTTGGACAAACCAGTGGTTGAGATTATGAGCAACAGACCATGCCATTAGGATACGATGTTTTAACATGTTTATGTCTGGTTTCTGGAATAAAACAGCCCTGCTGTAATTTTTGCATTTATATTTTTGGAGTCAGAGTACCAAGGACCTTGTCTGACCCAGGTCCGCAGATTACGGGGCAGTCAATGAAATAAGTAAAGCATCCCATACTGACCTGCCGTCAAAGGTGTTGAAGTGGGGATCATTGATGGAGGAGCAGATGGCCGACTTCACATCACGGTCCTGCACCATGATCTACAACAATACACGTCAACCTCAGCTTTAAGTCCATCATCAGACGCTCAACATGATGACATCATGATAGATCTGCATTGGCAACCTGTACTGTCATTTTGACATTTGGAGGGCACAGAAAAAAGTCAACAACCTTGACCTTGAGGTTCAAGTAAGATGAAACATCAAGGTCAAGGTTAGCAACTATTTTACGCACAGGCAGGTAGAGAAGAATTTACTTTCAATGTTTCATCTGTTTGAACACCCATGCACATCTCTACTGTAAGACTGGTGAGGTGTGGTGGGGTGAAATAGGCTTTAAAGTCACATCCAAGATTAATGCACTTATATAGATATGTGTGTGTGCGTGTGTGTGTGTTTGAGTGAGTGTGTGTGTTTGTGTGTATATTTGTGTGTGTGTGTTTGTGTCTCTGTGTGTGTTTTTTTATGTGTGTGTTTTTTTTGTGTGTGTGTGTGTGTTTTGTGTGTGTGTGTGTGTGTGTGTGTGTGTTGTGTGTGTGTGTGTGTTTTGTGTGTGTGTGTGTGTGTGTGTTTTGTGTGTGTGTTTTGTGTGTGTGTGTGTTTTGTGTGTGTGTGTGTGTGTGTGTGTGTGTGTGTGTGTGTGTGTGTGTGTGTGTGTGTGTGTGTGTGTGTGTGTGTGTGTTTTGTGTGTGTGTGTGTACGATGCAGTTTAACACAAAAAACCCACTCAGACACAGTATACCCCAAGCCGACCAGTGCTTGTTTTAGCCCCTTAAAGACGAGTGCCAGACTGGGTAACAACAAGTACCATCTTTTCACATCTTTTTGTATGTCTTGGCCAGTAATCGAACCCCGGACCTTCCACTCTCAAGGCAGACATTCTACCACGGTGGCGGTTTGTAAGAATGGGTTTCACTTTCGTGAATACAGAGTTGGTTTGATAAAAAACATGATCACCATAATAACCATATTGGAATAAAACCTGGTCTTTGGTGTGATGAGCAAGAACCTTAACCACAAAGCTACTACCTCTTTTCCTGATTGTTATTGAAGGGGGTCTATAGTGTTGCTTACATTGAACGTAGCCAGCGTCTGAGTTGCTGTGAGAGATGGTGTCGCTCCAGCCCATTTCTCCATGGTAACGGTTGCAGTGAGCTGCCGGTAGCCATCAATGCGGTTGTCAAGCACTGGCGATATCTCAAAGCTCTTCTCATCATTGTTGGAGTCATCGATGACAATCTGACATTTATCAGACACAACTTGTTGGATTTCAACATCATCTGGGCACCTGAAATGCAGTAGCCATGGCAACAAATTAGTTGTGTAAAAGTTACATAACAATAAGTTTTTATTAGGAAAGTAGTATCTCAGTAGAGACTGTATGGCACTCAAGATGAACGTTCAAAGGATCATAACAAAAATAACAGCTCATACAGCTTCAAATATCGTAAAATGATTTCTATCCCAAAATTTATATTTAACTAAGTTTTTCAGTGAATGCTAAATTAAGTTTATTAATTATTGTAATTTGTATGCTGTGTTACGCAGAAGTCAGACTTCTTATTAAGGAGCTTATTTCGGCAAATGTAACACAAATATTAAAAAAACAACTCAAATCAGTTGTTTGAATGACTTGCAATATACTGCTGAACACTAGAAACATCTTCATCAGACAACTGAACCCATGAGCCTGAACTATCCATACAGCCGATAACATCAGAGTTGAGGTTGAAGTGACGGTCCATGTATCGATGTGGCACACATATGAAATACATAGAGCTTGAGGTCCATGTGCACCGTGTCCTCCACCGTAGGACTTGAATTCTTCCCACAACGTGTGTTCAAGCCGTTTCCTAAATTTATCTCATGTGCCACATTCTCACCTTGGAACAGTGCTGGCGTCAATGTCAAATTGGATCTTGAGTCTGATTTCACCCCCACTTGCCCCGAAGGCTGCTGTAAAGTCAAGGTCCTGCAGAGTCAACTTGACCGAGGGTCCGCCTTCTGCCAGGTAGATGGTGTTGTCGGGGCTCAAGGAATGCTGGGACACAAGTCAACATCAACACCAGTCTCCATAGTGACATTCACACACAACTTCAACTTACTACTTACCAATTTTGTGATTTGCAAGCAAGTTTTATTTCAAAGACAGTCCTGGCAGGGATTTAACTAGGATGCTACACCAAGTGCCCTTGGCAGGCAAATTGGGAAAAAGACATCATTATTTTGTTATTTTCCAATATTTTGAGGTATTGTAACATTCAGGGCAATAATGTTAAACTAAGCTTAAAGGTTCTTCGTCTTTATAGGTCCTGTTATAAGTGATATACAAGATACCTCAACAAAGCCATAACATTAGATATAACTATATGAACATCCAATATGTTTCAATTCCACTTGAGTGAGCGAGGATGGTTTTACGCCGCTTTTAGCAATATTCCAGCAATATCACGGCGGGGGACACCAGAAATGAGCTTCACACATTGTACCAATGTCGGGAATCGAACCCGGGTCTTCGGCATGATCAGCGAGCGCTTTAACCACCAGGCTACCCGACTGCGCCATTGGCCTCTCAGCCGGTCTAGATGGACCTCTGCTTGCATTTGTATTTAACAGAGGTTGAAGTTAGACTTGCGACAATACATTATTCTGATTACCGTATCGGTAAATGATGGTAATGCAGCCTAAAGAAGAATACATCATTTTTTGCAGTAGTAATACAGATAACATCACTCGTCCTCTTGTAGGTTAAGCCATACACGAGACAGTGGTTTGAAAAAATACTTACTGTGATGACCGGAAAGCGTTCACACGCAGTTGTCATTTTGGCCAGGTTGGTTGTAAATGTGGCCATCAATGCAGTAGAGGAAGTGGGGCATTGTCCTATAGCCTTGCCTAGGCACGCCTGCACTTGCTGGAGTTCACTGGAAACACACAAGGAAAGATTCAGTTTGTGTCCATGATTCAGCAGGTGTGTGTGTGTGCGTGTGTGCGTGTGCGTGTGTGTGCATGTGTGCATGTGTGTGTGCGAGGTCAAGCCAATCTGTCTGTCATTGTGGCTGTGTGTACTTATTCATATTGAAAGTGCTACAACACTGAGATACCACACAGAAATAACATGGATACCCCACCAGTGATGGTAACAAGGAATACCATCTTTTAATGTCTTTTGTATGATACGTCTGATCTTGAACCACTCCCCACACTTCAGTGTTGGGCACTCTATTACTGGTTGTCTGGCTGACAATTAATCCACTACACCACGGAGGCGGGCTCCGGGTAGGACTTTCTATCACTAGGTCACAGAGTCGGTCCGGCTAACACTTAATCCACTACACTACAGAGACGGTCTCCGGGTAGGGCTCTCTTTCACTAGGTCACAGAGGTGGTCCGGCTAACAGTTAATCCACTACACCATAGAGACGGTGTCCAGGTAGGGCTTTCTATCACTAGGTCACAGAGATGGTCCGGCTAACAGTTAATCCACTACACCACGGAGGCGGGCTCCGGGTAGGACTTTCTATCACTAGGTCACAGAGTCGGTCCGGCTAACACTTAATCCACTACACTACAGAGACGGTCTCCGGGTAGGGCTCTCTTTCACTAGGTCACAGAGGTGGTCCGGCTAACACTTAATCCACTACACTACAGAGACAGTCTCCAGGTAGGGCTCTCTATCACTAGGTCACAGAAGTGGTCTGGCTTACACTTAATCCACTACACCACAGAGACGGTCTCCATGTAGGGCTCTCTATCACTAGGTCACATAGGTGGTCTGGCTAACACTTAATCCACTACACCACAGAGACGGTCTCCAGGTAGGGCTCTCTATCACTAGGTCACAGAGATGGTCCTGCTAACACTTAATCCACTACACCACAGAGACTGTCTCTGTGGGTGACAATAAACAGTAAACTCACGGGCATGTTGTGGAAGCAGTAAGTCCGCCGAGGCAGGTGTTTCCATCAGTCGTTGCCTGCTGACACGTGACGGTGGTCTGGCACTTGGCGGTGTAGCTCTCCTGCAAGTACAGCACCAGGGAGGAGAGGGTGTCGTTCACGCCGCAGCTGTCCAGGCCAGCAGTGGACACTCGGCTTAGCATCACTGCAACTTCACTGAAGGCAGAAACATTTCACATTCACATCTGCAGAACAATCAAGATTTGAGTGAAGTGATAGCAACATGTTATTTGTTTGTTGTTTACTGTTCCAGATATATGATGGCGTCCCGTATGTAAATCAAGTTAAAGTAATCCAGTGATTAGCAATGATCCATGCTGTTGGGGTACATTGATATGCTTTTTGCCAGGTCACCGAGACTGATCCATTAAATCACCTCCAGGGCCCCGTTCCACAAAGCGATCTTAGCGCTATGATGATTGTAAGCCTATGTTAAAGTATGCGACTTACGATCACCTTAGCGCTAAGATTGCTTTGAGGAATGGGGACCAGGGCCCGCTTGCACAAAGCGATCTTAGCGCTAAGATGATCGTAACTCCCATACTTCAACATAGGCTTATGATAGTCTTAGCGCTTAGATTGCTTTGAGCAAGTGGGCCCAGAATAAGTTGTTGGGGATGTTGTAAGATGATCGTAACACCCACTGGGGACCAGTTCCAACCTGGAACTGTCAGAAGAATGATGGCTTCATTGTCATAGCAATATCTCTGTGTTCTAATGTTAACTGAAGTCAGACATGATTAGTGAGAGAGTGAGGGTGAGGTGAAATGGTGTTTTATGTCACGTCCAAAATTTCTTTGATAAGCATTCACAAGTTGGAGTACTAAGATTTATGGATGAACAACTTCTTTATAACAGTTAAGAAAAACATTTAGGTGAAGGTTCTAACACCATCCAAAATTACTGCACTTATTTAGAGATGCATGCATGCATGCACATGTGTGTGTGTGTGTGTGTGTGTGTGTGTGTGTGTGTGTGTGTGTGTAGTCCGGACTGATGCCGATTTATAGTGCTAGCCAACTGAGATGCCATGCAGCAGTTTAACATGAATACCCCACTCAGACACTGACTCTGAGCTGACCAATCTGTTCATCCCTTCATGACGAGCACCTGGCAGGGTAACAACAAGTACCATCTCTTAATGTCTTTTGGTATGATGTGGCCAGGGTACGATGTGACCTTCCGCTCTCCGCTCGGACGTCCTACCATAAGAGGCACCCCGAGGGACAAAGATGGGCAAGTGTCGCTATTGTGATGACGCCACATCCAGAAGGGGAACGCCAAATAAAATCAGAGCTTTCCCGACTGCTTCGCTAGCTCCCCATGTGGTGAGTCTCATGAGCGTATATCAGAGTGCTTTGGTTTAGTGGACATGACTTATGTGCTTCAGGTCACACAATGTCACCACCAGGGTATGCGGGAGCTGTTCTGGAATGCCAACAGTGCCGGTTACTTTGGACGGTTTACACTCAAGAACCATATTTGCCGTATTATACGATGGAGACGGACCTGCAGAAGGCACAATATCATACAGGCACTACTTAGTGACTACGGTGTTGACGGACCTGCAGAAGGCACAATATCATACGTGCACTACTTAGTGACTACGGTGTGGACGGACATGCAGAAGGCACAATATCATACAGGCACTACTTAGTGACTACGGTGTTGACGGACCTGCAGAAGGCACAATATCATACGTGCACTACTTAGTGACTACGGTGTTGACGGACCTGCAGAAGGCACAATATCATACAGGCACTACTTAGTGACTACGGTGTTGACGGACCTGCAGAAGGCACAATATCATACAGGCACTACTTAGTGACTACGGTGTTGACGGACCTGCAGAAGGCACAATATCATACAGGCACTACTTAGTGACTACGGTGTTGACGGACCTGCAGAAGGCACAATATCATACAGGCACTACTTAGTGACTACGGTGTTGACGGACCTGCAGATGGCACAATATCATACGGGCACTACTTAGTGACTACGGTGTTGACGGACCTGCAGAAGGCACAATATCATACAGGCACTACTTAGTGACTACGGTGTTGACGGACCTGCAGAAGGCACAATATCATACAGGCACTACTTAGTGACTACGGTGTTGACGGACCTGCAGAAGGCACAATATCATACAGGCACTACTTAGTGACTACGGTGTTGACGGACCTGCAGATGGCACAATATCATACGTGCACTACTTAGTGACTACGGTGTGGACGGACCTGCAGAAGGCACAATATCATACAGGCACTACTTAGTGACTACGGTGTTGACGGACCTGCAGAAGGCACAATATCATACGTGCACTACTTAGTGACTACGGTGTTGACGGACCTGCAGAAGGCACAATATCATACAGGCACTACTTAGTGACTACGGTGTGGACGGACCTGCAGAAGGCACAATATCATACGTGCACTACTTAGTGACTACGGTGTGGACGGACCTGCAGATGGCACAATATCATACAGGCACTACTTAGTGACTACGGTGTGGACGGACCTGCAGAAGGCACAATATCATACAGGCACTACTTAGTGACTACGGTGTTGACGGACCTGCAGAAGGCACAATATCATACAGGCACTACTTAGTGACTACGGTGTGGACGGACCTGCAGAAGGCACAATATCATACAGGCACTACTTAGTGACTACGGTGTTGACGGACCTGCAGAAGGCACAATATCATACAGGCACTACTTAGTGACTACGGTGTTGACGGACCTGCAGAAGGCACAATATCATACAGGCACTACTTAGTGACTACGGTGTTGACGGACCTGCAGATGGCACAATATCATACGTGCACTACTTAGTGACTACGGTGTGGACGGACCTGCAGAAGGCACAATATCATACAGGCACTACTTAGTGACTACGGTGTTGACGGACCTGCAGAAGGCACAATATCATACGTGCACTACTTAGTGACTACGGTGTTGACGGACCTGCAGAAGGCACAATATCATACAGGCACTACTTAGTGACTACGGTGTGGACGGACCTGCAGAAGGCACAATATCATACGTGCACTACTTAGTGACTATGGTGTGGACGGACCTGCAGAAGGCACAATATCATACAGGCACTACTTAGTGACTACGGTGTTGACGGACCTGCAGAAGGCACAATATCATACAGGCACTACTTAGTGACTACGGTGTTGACGGACCTGCAGAAGGCACAATATCATACAGGCACTACTTAGTGACTACGGTGTTGACGGACCTGCAGAAGGCACAATATCATACAGGCACTACTTAGTGACTACGGTGTTGACGGACCTGCAGAAGGCACAATATCATACAGGCACTACTTAGTGACTACGGTGTTGACGGACCTGCAGATGGCACAATATCATACAGGCACTACTTAGTGACTACGGTGTGGACGGACCTGCAGAAGGCACAATATCATACAGGCACTACTTAGTGACTACGGTGTGGACGGACCTGCAGAAGGCACAATATCATACAGGCACTACTTAGTGACTACGGTGTGGACGGACCTGCAGAAGGCACAATATCATACAGGCACTACTTAGTGACTACGGTGTTGACGGACCTGCAGAAGGCACAATATCATACAGGCACTACTTAGTGACTACGGTGTGGACAGACCTGCAGAAGGCACAATATCATACAGGCACTACTTAGTGACTACGGTGTGGACGGACCTGCAGAAGGCACAATATCATACAGGCACTACTTAGTGACTACGGTGTGGACGGACCTGCAGAAGGCACAATATCATACAGGCACTACTTAGTGACTACGGTGTGGACGGACCTGCAGAAGGCACAATATCATACGTGCACTACTTAGTGACTACGGTGTGGACGGACCTGCAGAAGGCACAATATCATACGTGCACTACTTAGTGACTACGGTGTGGACGGACCTGCAGAAGGCACAATATCATACAGGCACTACTTAGTGACTACGGTGTGGACGGACCTGCAGAAGGCACAATATCATACGTGCACTACTTAGTGACTACGGTGTTGACGGACCTGCAGAAGGCACAATATCATACAGGCACTACTTAGTGACTACGGTGTTGACGGACCTGCAGAAGGCACAATATCATACAGGCACTACTTAGTGACTACGGTGTTGACGGACCTGCAGAAGGCACAATATCATACGTGCACTACTTAGTGACTACGGTGTGGACGGACCTGCAGAAGGCACAATATCATACAGGCACTACTTAGTGACTACGGTGTGGACGGACCTGCAGAAGGCACAATATCATACAGGCACTACTTAGTGACTACGGTGTTGACGGACCTGCAGAAGGCACAATATCATACGTGCACTACTTAGTGACTACGGTGTGGACGGACCTGCAGAAGGCACAATATCATACAGGCACTACTTAGTGACTACGGTGTTGACGGACCTGCAGATGGCACAATATCATACGGGCACTACTTAGTGACTACGGTGTTGACGGACCTGCAGAAGGCACAATATCATACGTGCACTACTTAGTGACTACGGTGTTGACGGACCTGCAGAAGGCACAATATCATACAGGCACTACTTAGTGACTACGGTGTTGACGGACCTGCAGAAGGCACAATATCATACAGGCACTACTTAGTGACTATGGTGTTGACGGACCTGCAGATGGCACAATATCATACGGGCACTACTTAGTGACTACGGTGTTGACGGACCTGCAGAAGGCACAATATCATACAGGCACTACTTAATGACTACGGTGTTGACGGACCTGCAGAAGGCACAATATCATACAGGCACTACTTAGTGACTACGGTGTTGACGGACCTGCAGAAGGCACAATATCATACAGGCACTACTTAGTGACTACGGTGTTGACGGACCTGCAGAAGGCACAATATCATACAGGCACTACTTAGTGACTACGGTGTTGACGGACCTGCAGAAGGCACAATATCATACATGCACTACTTAGTGACTATGGTGTTGACGGACCTGCAGATGGCACAATATCATACGGGCACTACTTAGTGACTACGGTGTTGACGGACCTGCAGAAGGCACAATATCATACAGGCACTACTTAGTGACTACGGTGTTGACGGACCTGCAGATGGCACAATATCATACAGGCACTACTTAGTGACTACGGTGTGGACGGACCTGCAGA